TAGCTGCTGGAAGGAGTTCATTCAACAGAATGTCTCGTTTCTGAGGTGTGAGTACATTTCCATCACGGCATGATGGAGAGTGTCTATGTGAAGAACCCGTCATTCCACTACTGCAACGCCTCATCACTCTATCCAATTCCTCAGAAGACACATGAATACGAATAGGCATCCAATCCTCCTCATCACTTTTTACTGCTGTAGTAGTAGTTGTTGTTGTTGTTGTTTAGAAGGAAACAGTACTCTTACCACTTTGAGGTAATTCACGTACAAAAGAAACAGTCGAAGGTGTATAATCAGTTTTATTCTTCATATTCTTCCACACAGTAGTATCGTACTTGCAACTACCATCATGGAGGGCTGCAAGGCCACAGACACAGTTGGGCAAGAGGAACAAGAATAACAACACAGATATGATCATTTCCAACAACTTCTTCATTACTTTGTTATTGTACCGTTCTATATATAAGTTTTCTCTGATTATTTTCTTTATTTATTCTGTCTCTATTCTTTTTTACGATTCACATCAAAGGGTTGGACAACATGAACAGTACGTAATACCTCACACTCTAACGTATTCGGCAATTCACACCTTGACTGGAACAAATAAAAGAAAAAATATGCACTCTCATCATCCAGCGCATCATCACATTAGCAGAATACAAATGCCAAATGCAGAAAACCACCACAAAGTACATCATCATCATAATCAATCACAGAATATAGCACAGTTACCATTGCCAAACTGAGATATAACTAACAGTAACAAAATAAGAATTCACAATAAAAACCATTAACTACACACTGAAAGAGAGAGACCATGTTACCATTATTGTTGCTATCCAGAGTACTGTGGCTGGTTGGGCTATTGATGAGTGCACTACTACTAGTGCCGTACATCAGATACAACACCAATTAGGATTATATATATATATATTCTCTCAACACTAATTCCCATTCCATTTCACAGTAATGGCAAGCATTCACTTCATTACAGTGAAGGTGTAAACACATCATGTACAGTACACCTTACACTGTAAACTGGCAGCTGTCCCCCTCTTCCCTTCCTTACCCACATCGAGTATGTGCGTACACACACATGGGACCAGAACAACCCCTTATCCCTGCCATGTCTGCTGCACAAGTGTGGCTTTATTAGAGCCAACAACGCAGACACACACAAATGGCATACAGGGCATCACTGTTATTATTATTAACACTACACTAGTCCATCATAAACTAAGGAATAGAAAACACAAAGACCAAAAAGGTAAACACACAGATATAACACCATAAAGCCTTACCACACCCATTGTACACCATAGGAACACATCTCTCTTTAAACTGCCAAATACACCATTCATGTTAAAAAAAGAACCATTATTAACAAACCCCAATCAGTGAATCCACACACACAACAGTACCCCATAGATACCGATGCTTAATAACAGAGAGAAGTGCAGTATAATAAGGCACCAAAAAGAACAAACCCACTCAGCTTACCTCACAGCACTCCCTCCTTAATAGGAAAGACGGTATTAACATTCATCACACACATTCCACACTAACAGCTGAAAAACAAAAATAATAAAAAAAAAGAATACTGCCGTCATTATTCCCAAACTATTATTAAGCAAAGCAAAAAAAAAGATCTTAACGTTCATGTTTAAAAAGAGATTACACCCGAGATTTGAGTCTCGAGCTTTAAAAGAAATTGCCCCAAGATGAGGCCAAATCACACAGAGGTGCCACCCATCACCACCACCACTACTACAATATGTCTGTCCATTCCCTCCCAGCAGCAGTGTATGGGGGCACCATAAAGCAAAGAAAGAAAGCAATAATGTTATTAGCCCAGTTTCACACAATGAGTGTTAATATCAAGAACCCATCCAC